TTTACAGTTTCATCAAACTAATCTGCACAGAGCTGTAACAGCAAGCCAGCTCAGAAACAAGTGTAATGAAGGAGTTTTTTGTTCAGTAGTGCATGTTTATTTGCATACCGAGGAGAATATGGAACAGCTGGTGGAGGGGGTATGTACAGATCCAAAATGGCCGGCTTCTCCTTCTTCAGTGAGGTATCCACGGTGCTTTCTGGTGACTGAGTTGAAGTTGGTGGAGGACTGGTCTGAAATGTTAGACAGCTATCAAACATCTGAGCATTCATTTATCATTCACAAAAAAAATAATTTAATAATCAATAGTACCATTTTCACCCCCTATATCAATACTATCTCCATGCTGTATGAACATATTAAAAACTCTTAGAAGTTATATTTTCCTCCACCCCCAGTTTTGGCTAGCTTTGCAATCCCTCCTACAGAAGTCCTATCATGGGTAATCTACTGCTCAAGAACATTTTGCTCTTTCCATTTTTCCTGTAAATTCAAAAAAAAACACAACTGAGACAAAACCCCTTCTTCTATTTTTAGATGCATTAAAAGAATGTAATTTGTTAAAAAAAGATATGATTGGCAAGCCTTGCAAAGCCAGCTCACACTACCTTTATTCCATAAAGTCCAGCGCCTGGGGCATAAACAGGAATATGGTAAAGTTCACCATAAATTGGATCAACAGATATAACTGCAGTCAGGGAAGCAAAGAAAAAACAGATTTGGCACTGCTCATCTTTGTGGCTCACTTCTATATTCTCAGTATCTTGCCAGGCTCCTGTCCAGGAGGGAAAAGGCTTCAAAGACCCTTTCACCTTTGTCAGGCAAGAGAAGCGCACTCTCCCCTTTTTGTAAGGACGTGTCCAGGCTTTCACTCTGTCCGCTTAGTTAAGAGCACCCCTGCACATGCACCTGCCTTTTACTGGTCAATGTGCAGAAAACCCAGAACTGTCAACAGGCTTCTCCAATCAACTCATTCCCCTAAGGAAACACCGCTTGTTATCACCTATATGCCAGCCCACCTCAGCTCTTCACACTGGTAGCACATGTCAGGCATGATGACACAAAACCAAGACACAGGCATTGGTGAAAGAAAGGATGGGAAAAGTAGTCAAGTATGCATCTTCTACCCAGTTTGAGAGAAATCTGCCTTCATCAAGACTTGTGACAGTCACTGACATTTCTAAGGTTGATAAATTACCCTCACAGCTGTTGGGAGACCTATATCACAACAGGAGCAGGAATGGGAAGTCTCACTGATTTTATTCATTTCACGTAATGACTTTAAATTCAGTCTGGTTGTTTCCTTCCATAAGCATTAAGCCCTAAGTTTCCTAACGCAACAAGCCATTCCTCAACATCGTTATTTAATAATTATTAACACACTTTCTCTGTTTTCTCAGTAGCCAATCTGCGAATCGCCCAACAACCTAATCTTATTTAAACAAGTAGTTTAAATGACTTCTTGAAAAACACTCTTACCTATCCTTCAGCAGACTAAAAGGAGGACAAATGTATGGAATAATCTAAGTTATTTCAGCAAAAATGTATTACTGTGCTAAATACAGAAAGTCTTTATTGCTCCATGCTGATGAATTCCATACATATCATCGGTTTCAGCAGTTTCTCCTCAGATAAGTTCTCCCAGTGACACACAGACTGATTAAAATGCTCAGCACACCTAGTCCACTTGTGTACCAAGAGGGCATTATCTGTTTTTAAGGAAACATGAGGGAAAAAAAAAAATAGAAAAAGGCAAGAACATTTTCCCTTTTATGTAGGAACCAGAAAAGGACAGCCTTTTCACCTAACCTTCCTTGATCTGTAGTTAAACTTGAGTACCTGGGTGCATTTCTGGGATTTCGCTTTTTCAAGCTGCAACCAAGGCATTCCCATCCTGAGATCAGAGTGGAGCTGGCTGCCTCTCACCTGCACCAAGGGTGGTTTCCAGCGCAGGTTCTTTAATGGAGCAGGAGTGAAATGGAAAGAGCCAGTAGGACGTTTTTTAAGCAGCAGCCTAACTCCAGCAGGATTCTCTCTCAGCTTTGCTACCAGATTTTTTAGCTGCCATCCAACCTGGAACAGAATAAAGACCTCTTTTATTTGGCATTTCTTTTCTGAAAGCGAACAAACAAGAAAAACCCAAATTCCCCAAGTCAAACTGTTTTAATATGAACCTAGAAGAGATACAAAAGATCAAAAAGAGTCAGAATGAAGAAAAAAGTGGAAAGCTTCTTTTTCGCATGGTTCTTCATTCTTGTTTCCAAGGAATTTCTCTACTTAAGCTGTAAACTAAACTGAAGCATCAAGCAATGCTCTTTATACCTCAGTTCTGGTCCTAGAAGGATACATGGATGTGCTCAAATTGACTAACACAGGGATTTCACAGTAACCGACTTTTGTCATATTTCTTTCTCCCGTTGAGAGGCGTTGCTTACCTGTGCTAAGCAAAAATGCAATCATAATATCCAAGTTCTCAGACGCAAATGATTTGACAATCATTTGCAAATGATTGGGGGGTTTTTAAGCTGTTTTTATCTGCATTTCAGTGGACTGTAACAAAGCATTTTAAAACTGGTCTTAAATACAACATGAAGGATTTTAATATGATGCATACAACATTTAAAACATGAAATATTGCATATTTACTTTATCAAAATATTGCAAAGAATAAAATTTGTCTTGAAAGCAATACATTAAAAAGCCTCAGATATTTCACAAGGAAAATACCAGAGTCACCTCCTGACCCCATCCCCTCAGTACCACTGGGGATCAAGCCTTGCAGAGCAAGGAGATGGAAAGTTGGTAACACTGTCAGTTACTAACCACAGTTTGCCGATTAACCTGGATCACTTCATCACCAGCATGAATCTTCTGAGAGCGATCAGCAGGGGACTACAAAAAGGAAAACAAGAGTCATGTGCTTCAGCAGGTTTTCATCCCTCCCATAACAACCCCCACCACGCTAAGTCAAAGGTTGCATCAGCAATGCTCTTCAGTATAGATAATTTTCACATCTGCTGATGACTTCAGAAATGCAAGTTAATTCATCAAATTATTTATTTAAGGGAGAAGGCATACCCTACATCTGTTACAGGCTAAATGGTACTTAAGTCATGGGACAGTCTCTACTGTCCTTTTGCCTCCAGTTTGTACTTTAGTTTTAGACAGTAGTGGGAGAGGACTGAAGAGGGTTTCCGCCCTAACACAGCAACTATCCTAAAAAGCTTTCAAATAAATGCATACTGATTTAAAAAAAAAAAAAAAAAAAAAAAAAAAAAAAAAAAAAAAAAAAAAAAAAAAAAAAAAAAAAAAAAAAAAAAGACCTTGAATGTACAGAACAAAGGACCAAAACCCCTCCAATCCGTAAGACAGATCCATTGCACTTTCTGTTTCATAGTGTAAATAAAAGCTTCCAACTTTAATGTGAAACTGCCTGCTTGCATCATCAAGGACAACAGATAAAAATACATGTTTGCACACATCCAGTATGCACAGACAGGTATTTTTCAAATAACTATCTAATAACAATACACCTTAAAATACAAGTTTCTTGGAACACAACCTAAGCTCTGGGGAACCATTAGCAAGAAGGAGTTAAATGTGTCAATATTTACATTTATCAAGAGCTGGGTCACAGGACAACTCCTCCTCCCATTCCCCCCACCCCATGAGCAATCACCTGGCAGCAGTCCAGCTCTTTCTACTGACTCCAGCACTAAGCACTGGGATTAAGGACTCATCACACCTTTAGAGCTCCACTACCTTTCTTATGAGAAAGAACTAAGAATAAACAGTGCAGCAAGGGAAGAAAATGTGTGGGAATTTACGGGAGGCTCCAGCTATCATGAGTAACCCCGTTTCTTCATTGTCTTCTTGCTTCCTCTGAAAGGAAATGCCTCTCTGGAAAGCTGCATATATATGAGTCAACTAAGACCATGAAAAAACGCCGGGCCAAAGTCAAGTTTAGGAAAAAACAAAGCCCATTGCAAGCTGTCCTTTGGGAGACCAACAGCTCATCTGAGGGAGGGTGGGGGACCTTTGCACAGAGAGCTCCTACAAGTGACAGGTCACAGCACAGACACTTGGACCATATGTGAAAACAGAGGAAAGAACAAAGTTTAGGTCTAGGCCAATGTGACACAGGAAGTCACACATAAGATGGTACAACTTAGGAATCCTCTTGGCTGACTGGTACCAAATGCACTTTTCCAGTCCTTCCACTGTTCAGTACTATCAAGTCAGGGATGCAATTCCACTGCATTCCAATACACCAGCTTCTGGGAATAGCCACTAAGATACCATTCCAAATCTATGAAGAAAACTGAGCTAAGACCCAGCCTCAGTCATCTAAGCAATACCATGCTACCCTAAAGACATTAGTTGTTTGCAGATCTCAGTCACTCCAAGTTCTGTTGCTCCAAAGGAAGAAGCAGTGTTGATAAAAAAAGAAGACATTTAAGTCAACACTCAAAGCTACAGAAGAAATACAGCCCCCAAAATAAGATCTACATGCAGAGGCAGCTTGTCAGCAGTCAACATGACATTCTTTCACATTTATCAGACGTTGAAATTGCTGTCAAAGTGGGCCTGGTCTTTGTGGCAGATTCTATACAGAGTTATGCCATGACAGTAGCATAAAAGCTATAAAAGCTTTCACTCTGCACTCTGAACAGATTTCCATCCCCTTCTCCTGGCCCTGGACTCGGCAGGGATAACAACTAGAACCACTGGTTCTTTCCTATTCACAAAAAAAAAAAAAAAAACAAAAAAAAAAAAAAAAAAAAAAAAAAAAAAAAAAAAAAAAAAAAAAAAAAAAAAAAAAAAAAAAAAAACACAACACCATTGGTGCAAAAGCCAAGTTTCTCTGCTCTTCTTTCTTTCAGTCACTGCTCCTGTACCGCAGCATGTTTGACACCACCACAGCATCACCTGCCACCCTCAGCTTCTGGCTGGGGCTCCACTCCTTCAGTGGTTACCCAGAAGCCTTCAATGAAGTACCTGCTACAAAAGGACTACATTTGTACAAAGTGTACAAATGGAAGAAGTGATCACCTGCGGCAAAAACTAGTTGCCTACTCTGCCTACTATTTCCTTCCAGCTCACCACTCTTAGAAGTCTTACTTGTTCATAGTCTTTCTACTCTGCAAGGTAATTTTGTGCCGGGACAGCTCATTAATTTCATTACTTATTCCCGAATCTAGCACACTACCACCTAACTGTTCCCATTAGGGGAGATTGCCTTTGCCAGCAGAGAGCAAATACATACACGACTCTGTTAAACAAGATACCATAAGGGCTCAGAACAGCAGATACAGTACCTTATTAAAGTAAGTTCAAATGCTTGGTATTAAAATAGTAACTCATGTAACTTGCAGAAACTGGTTTAATTTGACTGTGAAACATGCAGACACAAAATATTTAAAAATTATGGATAAACAAATGATGCATCACACAGTATTAGAAGCAGTAATACCATGCAAGTTATATGTAAAACAACAAAAACTAGTAACTCAGACTAACTCAGCAAAGCTACTGTCCAGATAGCCCGACTTCATCTACATTTACTTCACTTACGTTTTCTGTAGTTCCAGTAATTACATGCAATCCATCGTAAGTTGATTTTATGTACATTCCCTAAGCATAAAGAAAAAATTAAAAACAACTTTAAAGGCAACACAAACCACATAACTTATCTGATTAAACAAATGTTGGCAACAGACTCAAAACATTATTAAAACCAGTTAACAATTCATATATTTTCCCTAGTAAAGTATGTGGTCTAATATTACCTTAAACTTCTTCATAGATCACTTTTAGTATAATTAATTATAATATTTATTATGAATTAAAACACCAGATATATGGAACATTACACAGAAACACTATCTGGTTGGTAATACAAAACTCATTTTGCTGCCTTGTCAGTCTTTGGCCTCAATAAAACCTTTTTTTCATCACTACCCAGTCTGCACTAGAGAATTACAGGTTTTACTAGGTAGCCACTAGTCCTCTCCACGCAAAGCTCACTTACACAGGTGGGCTACAAATATTGCAGATATGTTCTTTTACAGCTTCTCCTGGCAAGTCAATACATTGATTGACTCACAGCCACAGTGCTTATGTAAGCAACGAAAGCTCCAGCAGAGCGTCTGTGGTTCTGTATGTTAATGCTCAGTGTGAATACAAGGACAAACTCAGATGAAGTGGGTGTTGACCGTAAGAACACCAAATTAAAAATCACAAGCCGGCTAATAATCAATAATTATATAGATTTCTCCGCAAGAGGTGACCAGTATATTGGTTTCATCATTTACAAAAAAATAGGTATCTACTTTTCCTATCTACATCTTGTTGTTAGAAGCACTCATACTGAGCAGTATAGAACTGGATGTTATTCTGGAGCTGAAAGCAGAAAAACAGAAGATTTTTTTTTTGATCCTTCCTATCAAGCCAATTCCTTCCCCGTTTGCCTGTCAGTTTCCAATTGTGTGCACCTACCTCCTCATTTCTTACTTAGTCCAAGCTAGACTGACTTCGCATTGTTGTAGCTTGTGCATTAACAGAGGTCCCCATAATTTCAAGAATGCATGACTAATTCAGTTAAATCCATTGGTCTAGGTAAAACTATATAGCATAGTAAGACTAGGCAGCTTTCTCTGTAAGTGTTCATCTCTTCTGCGTTCAGGGCCAGGGGGTGAATACAAATGCACTTAAGAATTTCAGTTCCCTCCAATTCATTCTATCACATCTGTTCACTAGGCAGAAAATCCACTACGATTTCAAACTAAGTTTCTCATAACCAGCACTCAGCTAAGCAGAATCTACTGAATGAACAAGAGTCAGTCACAGAACATATTAAAAGTTCTCCTATTCCTGCTAACAGCTAATCTTAAAAATTCTCATATTCTTCTGAATCTTCATATGAAAACAAATAAAACCACATCTTTCAAAACACAAACATCGTTTCTCATTACCTTCTCCCTCCCCCAGACCTATGAAAAAAACAACTAGATAAGGTAACCCGCAAAAACAGAACTACTAATTTCACAAGTATTTGTAAATTTTCAATACCCTCATTAAGACAAAAATCTTCAACAGCTTACCACTAAAAATTATATTTGGGATCAAACCTATTACCATGCATACCTGTCTTTGGCAGCCACTCCAGCATACCACCTGACCATTAACCTTTAGATTGGGGAGCCCCCGGTGGTGTAGAGGAAAACACACTGCACTGTCACTGCAGAGACCCGGGTTCGATTCCCGGTCGGGGCCCCTCCCCGGGCAGATGGAGCTCGTTAGCCCATAAGGCAATCCATCTACGTCCTGAGGACCTCACTGCCACCGTCCAAGCGTGTTTGGCCCCGGCAGATGAACCTCAGGATTAAAGGGTGGGCTCAGTTTCGCGCACACTGTGTCTCACCTAAAAAATCCAATGCGCAGGCTGGAAGGTGGAAAGACCTTCCCCGGTTCTTCGTTCGCGAAGAGACTGGCCATTATAACCTTTAGACTTCCTCCCCATGTCTCTTTCTTTTCTATATAGGTCTTGAAATATCTTACTATATCTAAACACTTGCATCGGCTCACAAGACTACCTATTAGACACTGGAGACATCAGGACACTCTAGTTCTTACCAGGCCTTCCCCAGGTTTAATGTTGGTTAAGTGAACCTCCTCCAGACAGGCACACTGGCTCATCAATGGATCTGTAGTTGATCGAATGGCTTTATCACAAATGCCATTTAAAGTCTTGGCCTACAATGAGAACATACAAAAAACAGTTAGGAAAATTCTCCCTGGCTTCTTCCTCTTCCAGTTGTCAAAAGACGTAAAGGAAATGAGTTCTAAAACCACTGAAACAGCAGATTCATTTGTACAGACCTATTCTACAGTATGTTTATATTCTTACTGTGACACAGTAAAAACAACTTGTTTCCATTAGTGCCCCCTCACCATCGCTAGCAGATGCTGACACATCCTCTGTCTAAAGCAATAAACACTGAAAATACAGCAAAAATTTGGGTAAGGGCTTGTTCACTTTTAACCAAAATACAACCCATTAAAATACTGAAACATTTTGATGATTCTTTGTGGGAAGAGTCGACAGTTTTTCATGTTGTTCCTTATTTCTGCTATGAGAATAAAATTGGCCATGTGTTACAAAAAGTGATGTGCTGGCCACTGCCTTACCTGCTTAAAACTTTACAGTGTAAGGTAGAACATGTAGCATTTAAGTGTTTCAGCAGTAATTCTTTCCACTGTGCCTCTGAACTGACCTCTTCTGGAATGCTTACGCAGGCAAGGTTCACATTTCCTTTTGACTGAAACATAACTGATCCTAAGCTAACATCATAACTAAAGGCTAATTCTGACCTTGGCATGTGTATCAGTATAGTTAGAGGAAGAATGGCTTTGCCTTGTAGAACATTTAACTATTAGAAGGGCTAATTAAACATGGGGGGGGGGGGGAACAGTCAAAAAATCTCACAAATTTCATTACTTCCCACAGTGTGTTTTCCATCTTGACATTAACTGAAGGAATGCTGAAACTCAAAGTCAGTAGCAAAAGCTTAAAGGGGAGGGGAGAGAGGATTAGTACAGTACAGTAGTTAGTTAAAAACAGTTTGGGAACCAGCAAGTCACCTTTCACAAGGGGTTTGAATCCTCCAGTCAAAGTAGACCTATGTAATTACAGGATGGGGGAGGAGCTGCGTAATAGGAAGACAGTGGTTTTGATCACAATGGTCCCTGGAAACAATAGTTCCAACGTCTTCTGTGTTGTTTTACGTCAGATTTATAGAGCAGCAATAAAATAAATCAAAACAATGTTTAAGTGTGAATGTGAGGAACCGCTCAAACAAGGGAATTCCAAACAACAATACCTACTTCCAGAGCGGGTGTGCACAAATGGAAAAAGAAAGATGCAGAAAACTCCCTTTTACGTGGTCTCAGTATTTACGGACAGAATTATTTTTAGTTATTTTGCTACTAAATTCCTAAGCATCTATGAGCTACCGGAAGGCCTTATCAAAGAGCACAGCCTGGTTCATGTCAAAAGCAGGAAGCGATGATTAACTGTTTCAAAATATAAAAAGCATTCCATTACACTCCACATTTGGTCACAAGGCTGCTCCAAACAACCCTGGAAACTGCAGCTCAAGTACAAACAGAAACAGAACTTCAGCTCTGTGGTAGGGCAGTTCTTCTACATGAAGAAGTGTAATAAGGCATAGTGTCTGCTTATTAAGGTACTAAGTGCACTTCACAGGCATAATTGGTTTATTTAGCCTATGAACATTCTATAGTACTACTCCTCCCTTGAAAATTTGAGGTCTAAATCCTCTTGGAAAAATAGCTGTGGAATGAAACTTTAAGGAATACTTGACTCCATGCTATTACACACCCTACCCGTCTGTTCAAATTTCACTGATTTCCTCTACAGCGAAGAATATTCACAAAACAATCCATAGTAATGTTTACTTGCATGATACGCTTGTACATTTGGGACTGAAAAGCTGTTGTCAGTACAGTCAGTATAGGAGCAACTGAAATAAATGTGAACGCAAACAGCTGAGTTTCAACAGAAACATAAACTTACCACAGCCTGGACTTTATCTTCCATGTCAGCTACAGTGCAATCCTAAAAATAAAACAAGAACAAAAGCCCCGCATTAACCAATAAAAATGTAAACAAATATCTCTGAAAATTCTGCAAAACTGCCATTTCAACCTTGAATAGAAACAGTTATTCATGCTGGAGGGATTACTCAGATTAGTTTCACCCAGTAGGGCTCAAATGGACTGTTAAGCAACTATTTTCTGGCCCCGATAGAAAGCAATAATAAACCTTGAAAACTAGGAGAATGTGGGATTCAATTACAGCAGTCGACTCTTCCAGAGAAGCAGAACCCTGCAAAATGAAATACTCTCAGAAGGCCAGGTAGATGAGTTTGCCTTACACTGATTAGGTACTTCTCTGTCCCAGGCATCAAAATTTATCTAAAACATATTGTTGAAAACAGAATGGAAAGTGATTTTTTTTTTTAATATGCTATTGATGACATTCCTGAAGGGCAGAGGACTGCACACAAGGCATTGTTTACACAGCCCAGGTACAAAAGTCTTTGAACTGAAACAAGTTCATGTAAGAAACTACAGAAGTCATCACTGTTTTCTGCAAGAGCTGAACTGGAGAATAATATTATGCTCAGATTAAAAAGTTAATATAGCCGATAAAAAAACAAAACAAGATTTATAGTATCTATAAGGAGAAAACCCCCAAACCCCAAGCATTTTAACAAGGTTAAATTCCAGGATATTTGCCTTTGAATTTGTATTGGGTTTGCACAGCAAAGGTTTGGTAACAGGGATCCAACAGGGGTGGCTTCTGAAAGAAGCTTCCCTGTGAAGCTTCCCCATGAAGCCAGTGCCAACAATCTCCATGATGGACCTGTCACTAGTCAAGGCAGAGCCCATCAGCAACAGTGGTAGCACCTCTGGGGTAACAGATTTAGAAGTGGGGAAAAAAGCCCTGTGTAACTGCAGCCAGAGAGGGGGGTAAGGGTGTGAGAGAAACAACTCTCCAAATACTATGGTCAGTGAAGGAGGATGTGCAGGAGGTGCTCCAGGCACCACAGCAGAGATTCCCCTGCCACCCACACTGCAGACCATGGTGAGGCAGGGTGTCCCCCTGTAGCCCATGGAGGTCTACAGTGGAGCAGAGATCCACCTCTAGCCTGTGGAAGACCCCACACTGGAGCAGGTGACTGCCCAAAGGAGGCTGTGACACCATGAGAAGCCCACGCTGGAGCAGGTTTGTTGGCACAACTTGTGACCCCAGGGGGGACCCACCCTGAAACAGTTTGTTCCTGAAGGACTGCACCCTGTGTGAGGGACCCAGGTTGGTGCAGTTTGTGAAGAAGTGCAGCCCATGGGAAGGAGTCATGTTGGAGAAGTTCGTGGAGGACTGTCTCCTGCCTTTCTCGGCAAAATACATCTGCATGAATCAATAGGAAAATGTCATCTATCCTGCAGCTCAGTTGCTCAATATTAAGTTTGCCACAGAACTTTAAGTGGAATAAACTCTGGTCTTTGAGTCTACATAGCTATCACTAAAGTTAACTAGAATCTTCTTGCATTCCTTCCTTGCTTCATTATTCACCCACTTCTATACGTCATTTACGATTATGCAGAGCACCACTGGCTCCATGAGAGCCATCCTGGTCTCTTCTCCACTATTAGAACTGATCATTTGTTACTATAGTTTATAATCTAATAAGAAATACTTTTGAACTCTAAAAGCTCTCATAAAAATTTTTCAGTTGTATCTCTCTTTTCCACATCAGTGTGACTCCTTCAGACCGTTCCAACATACATGTAGTGTCCCAGTACAAAATAGTCTTGGTTCTTCCCCCAATAATGATTTTTCTTGTCTGTACCAATCCCATTCTTTATTATAGCTCCTACTGAATTGGCAGAGAAGTGGTTTGATGCCTTTTAAAAGGTTAGGGTGTAGTATTCACCAACTTCCACCCCCCTGCCATCAAAGACTGACTTAACTGAGAGATCAGACCCCATTTTTAGCAGTTTTATTAATATACTCAGCAATCTCATATTTCAGTTCCTGTAGCACTTTTGGGTGAACACCATCTGCTGCTAGAAACACTTACTGTTCTACTGCACAACCTGCAAATCTGTAGCTGTAAAACACTGATGTTGTGCATTCGTACACACAGCGCCCAAGCAAGAAGGGCATCAAGCAGCAGGACAAACCTGTGCACCTTAGAATTTACAGTACCCAGACACTATCCTTTGACAGTGATACAACTGATGCAATTGGGTGTCATCATAGCTTGACAACTCGTAGGATGTTTGTGCTTTGACATCATCCCTTCAACATGGGGAAAGAATCACACATGTCACAGGAATGGTTCTTCAGAGTTTGAACAATATGTGGCCATGGAGTAATGGTTCTGAGAGCAAGTCTGGCAATAACTGAAGTGTGCACACAGTGCTTCATGGTCAGAGCAGTGGTATGCTCTCAAAACAGTTTCAAAGACAGGCGGTATTATTCAGAGAAGAAAAAAACGTCATTTGCCAAGATGCTACATGTTGCTGCATGTCCCTTCAGCTATTACGTGTACAAGTACTCCTCACACAGATGATAAATTAAAGTTCTGAAAAATACGGTGGTGTTGCAGTAGTGGTAGAAGCAGCCTGGGTAGTGCAATTTGTATTGTAAAGGTGGCAACTCCTTCCATTACATGCAGCATTTCCCATCTGATAGCTAAAACACTGTTTTGGGACCAGACCTAAGAAGCTTGCAGGCACAGATGTAGAAAGCAATGGAGCCATATTTTTATTTAGAGTTAGCACTGATAACTCTTTATCAACGTGTTGTTTGGAAGGTGAAGATCTTCAAATGCAGACCAACTATTTCAAAAACTAAGCCCCTTTCTCATAAAGCTCAAGAAAATATAAGTAGCCTTTAAACCGCAGTCACTTCAGATACAGCCAGCAATTAAATTGGGGTAGGAATAACAAAAAACTCCCACCACTCAGAAAAACAAACAACTGAAACTGACCCTCATGGACCTTCAAAGTTTAAAGAAAGCTCTCATTCCCAGATCTGCCTTTCTTTAGCACTCAGCACACGGTAAGCACATTACTTCCCTAAACACCCCCTTTCCTTCCCTTTTGGAAGGCAAAGAGGAAGAGAAATCAGCTGACCTTCTGAACAGCAGTAGTGAGGTCCAAGCAGAGCTGAATGATTCTGTTCTTCATTGATGAAAAGTCAGCAATACCTGTAAATGGGGTCCTGCAACAAGAGAAAATTACCCTTAGATCAAAAGGACCAGCCTTTTCCAATCCTACCTTATTGATGACAAAAAGCATATGAGAGTACACCAGAGTTTCACATCAGTATTCCTGACTGCATAGTCCTGCTCCATTCTTGCACCATAACTGGAAAATGTCTATCCCTGTGGTAAGCAAGTTCAGAGAATAGAACCAGAAGAAATGGTTTTCCAAACTACAGTTCTCTCTACTTACACGCTCAAGTCATACTGTGTTGTAAAAATCACACACTTGGGTTTGCCAATGAGAAGACCTCTAACTTTCTGACTGGAGAAAGTAAAAAAAAAAATCTCTAAAATAAGAAAAATGGATTTTCACATTTTACACACAGAGGTACAGTGAGACTAAAGAATCATTATAGGTAAGGCAGCTTTATAGCCTGTAGAGTCCTACCTCAGATCCTCCAGACAGCTGCAAAAGCTAGAAGAGGGGTTGAGAAGTGACCACAGCATGTTTGGAAATGAGTAAGCCAACAATTTTCCTGATGGTGAGTTACAGAAAAAAATCTAGGGTGAGTTGCTAGCAACATGGTGAAAGAAGAGGACCAGGTGAGAGGCACAAGCTGTTAACATCACTACCTGGACACAGACCAACACCTTGCTTGAGAGCAGGGATACTGAAGGATAAAAGTGCTTCTTGTTGTCAGCCCCTGTGCAGTTCTCCTCCTTCCCAGGAAAGCTAGCAAGGGGTTTGAGAATTTATGTTCATCTGTTATCACAGACTGCATCCTTGCCAGCACTTGACCTGCTACAGCTGTCACAAAACAACTCTTGCTCTTTCCAGACAAAAAGAGCATTAAATAAGGGGGAGGGGAAGACAGAAAACAAAACAGGCATAAGGAGAATCTCTCCCACTGTTCATTTTTGTAATCACATAGCTAAGGCCATGATTTTAGCAGAACATTAAAAATTCTTTTAGATAGGGACGTGCCAATGGCAAGTAATTTACAAGGTGGAAGAGGAAAAGATAAGTAGTCACATGCATGAGAAATGACCTGAAAGAGAAGACTCCTACTTTTATAAACACCAGTTTGTGTGCAATGTAATGGTTTTGCTGGTTTTAGCAAGAGTGGAAGTACAAGAGTAGATTACCCCAGATTCTAATTGTTCGCTAGAGGCCTTCTGGTAACATCAAAAAAGGAATGACTGAGATCGAGATCTTTACACCCAGGCATCTAGGAACTGCCCTACAAGGAAAAACAATTCCTTAGAGCAGTAAATTAAAACATAATGATTTTATTCTTACCTGTCCAACCACGCAAGCAAGGCTTTAGCAGCACCAATAAGCTCTACCACAGAAGTAAGGAATTCATTGGGGGGCTTGCGAGAGGTATTTCCGTCATAATTTGAACTTTTCCTACGGCTGCTGATGTAATTTTGCAGATTGTTGGATGATGCTCGCAGTTTGAGAACCAGGTTCTTCATATTGTCTGTTTCAAGGCCATAGTTCTGCAAGGAGTATTATAAAGCATGATAAATAACCTCACTGAGTTCTCCTGCTTATTTACACCACAAGTTACAAGCTCATATTGGATGAAATGTCTGACTATTCGCACAGTTTTCTTCTAGGTTGTTTTTTTTTTTGGCAAAAATACCTTCTAAGATTTGTTCTACACTACAGCCACTAAAGTTTGCCAAAACCCTCTCAGTTTCTGACATTGAGATTTGAGGACACTTATCAATCAAATCAATCAATCAAAGTCCCACTGTCCTAACACATGTCATTTACTTGTTAATAACAGCATTTTGTTGTTTTTACTTTTATGAAAGGAATGCAAACACTGTTTTTCTTCTTAAAATGTTTTCTATATTGTGGTACATAAACACTGAAGTAACATTCCATTCACAACTAAAGATAAGTTAAATCTGGTAGGAGACAAAAACAACAGGAAGCAAATGTAATTTTGCAATCAAAATCATAAGTAAATATTTGGATCACAAGTTTTCAGTAACTGTGCTCTTTGACTACAGCAGTGCAATTATTTACAAGTTTGAGGACTGCATTAACATTATATATAGTAATTAAAGCCATTTTTAAACATTTTTCATTCAGCAGCATTTTTACAAAAATTTACAAAATCTAAAAAATTCTGTAAGTCTTGCCTATAATTTCAACTTTGTAAATTCAAATACAACCAAGCCACATTCCATAAGACTAAAACCCAATTGTTTTAAGTAATGCATTGATCATCTCATTCCAAACACGTCAGAAATGCTTCTCTCTTCTGAAGGCAACTCAATTTTGTAATCAAGAATTTCTTCTTTTCACTGTTAGCGTGCAAATGTATGAATTATGTAGCAATATGTAACTATCTTTGTTTCTGAGTTATTCCACCTTGTAAAACTTCTGTCTAAGTCCCAGGCAAAGCTTAGCTCTTGCAGAATGAAAATTCCTTCTTTTCTTGAGAAAAGGCGGGGGGAAAATAAACAAAAGACACTGCCACCAGAACAAAACAAACACCCAAAAATACTAAAGAGTCCTGCCTTTCTCTGTTCTTTTGCTGCTGCAGGTTCTTGCAACTAACCTCCAAGTTCCACAGTTTAGTCAGCTGTACTACCTATTCTTTTTCCTTTCCCACTCAAAAACCTAAAACAACTAAAGCAAATTGTAATTCCTTTCAATACCTAGTTTCCAGGGGCTCCCAATAACTCCACTCAGGATCACAGCACCACCCAGGCTGAAGGGGAGCTATGGAGATCTCAGACCAACCTCCTGCTCACAGCAGACTCAGCTCTGAGTTCAGAGTAGCTTATCCAGCATTCCATCCTGTCAGGTCTTGAAAACCTCCAAGGACAAAGACTGTAGAACCTTTCTGGGCAACTTGATCAACCATCTGACTGTCCTGAGAGTAAGTAAATGTTTCCTTATATCCAGTCTGAACTCATTTCAATTCTGCCCAAAGTCTCTCATCTTCCTGCCATGCAAGCCTAACTCTGTCATCCTGCCAACTGTGTTTCCCGCCATGGTAGGTGCTAGGGATCTGCTGTTGGGCCTCCCTGGAACTGTCTCCTCCCTAGCTGAAGAAGTCTCAGTCCCTCAGCCTCTCCTCATGGGCAAGTACTCCAACCCTGACCAACCTGATAGCCCTCCACTGAGCTTGCCTTGGTTTCTCTCTACCTTTCCTGTACTTAGCACAGGGGGCATATTCAGATTAATGAATGACTAGTAAAGGGTGATAATCAGTTCCCCCCCTCTCCCGTTACATGCAGACCAGGATGCTGCTAATGCTGGCTTGAGGCTCTATTCCCTCTACAGTCAAGCAACTGTAAAAGAGTCTAGAATGTTTTCGATTAAGTAATTTACGAAAGATGAGACTGAATCTTTGACCCAAAAAAACATACACTAGCGTATGGAGAAGTTTCATCTACATGGCTACCTTTAAAGTATCTCGTATGGGTAAGGTCCCAGTGCGTGTAAGTTACACAAGTGCCTTCCTCCTCCACCTCAGGGCTTTTGGCAAGGAAGTACCCTTAAAGTGCAGCCAGGAGTAGGGGTTGAAAGGATATGTCCAATTCAAAAAAATGCCACTGTTGCAACAGCAAAGGATATCCTTTCATTTTCCAGGATCACAGAAAGGGAAAGATCTGTATTACTTAACAACTTTAAAGTACTTGTACAGTGTCATGTGTGAACTTACCACCTTTTAATTTCAACAACAACAAAAAAGAAAAAAAAATAACACCACAAGAGCATCATTCTGATGCATTTCTTGTAGTCAGTTTTCTCCTCCTCACAGAATGTCACATATTAGTCTATTGTTGAAGTAATTCTTTTTCACAAACAGGTCTGGATGTGGGGCAAGTTCCTATGACCTCAAGAAAGTAGTCCCATATCAGAAAATCCCCTCTTAAAGAGGGGATTTGGAGAACACTGATCCCCTCCTTCCTTAAAGGGACAGTAAATACAAAATACCTTTTCTGTGCAGAGGTATAACCACCTAATAACTCTGATCAGAACTTGAGTCTTCATATAATTATCTCCAGGTCTTTCTTTCTGTCATTCGGATGCAGAAATTGTGCCAACTATCTGCGGGTATTTGAGATTAGAGATGGCACCACCATTTAAGAAGGCACATGTTGATATACCAGGTAAGATTTTGATTTTGGCCCTAAAACATTCACATTCTCCTTATCACAACTCTTATTCAAATGCCTTATTTACACAGCATGTGAGTCTGGTGTGGCTTTTCCAGATCAGGTAGTTTTTAAATAAATCTGTCTACCTCAGTTTTGAGGTAGCCTTCACCAGCACAGGTGTTGCCTCTAGAGATGCAGGGGCTGCAGCTCATAACTGCAACTGCTCTACTCAACAGACTATAAAGAGCATGTCACAGCCCAGCTCCAACAGTCACTGCCCTAAGCTCTCCTACAACTTCTCCCAAAGATTCTACAGAGTGCACCGGAGCTATCTAAACCAGCAGCCTGTGCTCTAGGAAAAGTCCTGACTAAGCACTATGCCTATCCAACACAACAGCAGCTCTTCAGTATCAGGTAATCAAATTATCCAACTACTGATCAGTCTTGATGAATGAACTCCCCCAGAACAATGCATCATCACAACCCAAGCCACCTCTGCTCCAGGGGCAAGCCATTGTCCTCAGTTGTCTGTTCTAACAGACGGAAAGTATTCTGCCCCTCCACCATATAGCAATGCTTCCATTCAAGCCGACACTGTCTTGAACACCTCACACATCACCAACTATTTCTGTTATTTTTCTGCTCCTTCACTTGCAGTATCCAGTCTGTTTGTTGGGAAGGCTGGTTTAGGGATCTAAACCATTCAAAGGAATCTAATCCCTTCTTAACTTTTTACTGGTTTAGCTTCCTGAAGTAGCTCACTTCAGGGTCAGGTGAGTGCAAGCACAAAAGATCACTAATCAGAGGACAGGAGGCGGTGGAGGCAGCAGGTGATTTGGATTAATTCAACTTTTCGTGGAACTGTGCCCCGATTCAGGACAGATAGGAATGCTGATATCGTGGCAGCACACCAAACAGCTTTCACACTGACACACAGTCTAAGCACAAAGCTTAGCAGGCTTTTCTTGAAATATTTCTACAGGACTGAGGCTACAATAGTTAACAAATTATTATTTAAGCAACCAAAAGGGTTTAGATGTTTCTCACGAACCAAAGAAACAGGCTACATTTTCCTATCACTCCCGATTTAAAACATCAAAGTTGCTTTAATCAAAACACAGGCTGAAGCCAGCACTCAAGAGCACCCAATGTCAAACATTCCCAGGTTATTACTCATTAACCTGGGGAGCCACATGCAGGGCTCGAGTGAGAGGCAGCACCCACACGTGCACCAGAGAGCACATGTGCACAAGAGCACACTCTTTCTAAGCTCCACCACATTTAATGAGAGAAAGTAATCTCACCAAATAATTGCTCAAGGTCAGGCCTCCAGCATAAAGTAAATAAAAAACATAGCTAACTGAAGCCAAAAGAGCACAGCAGTTGTGCCAGATCTGGGCTGATATAGAGCCCTGCCACTGCCCAGGGACAGCATCCCCTGCTCTTTTACAGCCATGTTCACATCCCATAATGTATGAGCTGGATCTGCTGGCTGATCCAAATGAAAGCCTGTTCTGTAAAAAAAGATGAATAAAACCAGACTGAATGCATGCTCAGAAGCTGATCCAAGTCACTTCATGCCTATATAAACACTAGAGTTAATGCAAGGTGCTGTCACAGTGACTCATTCTTGCTCTTGTCCTCTTAAAAATGCCTCCTAAAGAATCCTTTGAGATAAAAAATTTCCTAATAAACAGCACTAGATTTGAAAGATCTAGAAAAATTGAAATCTCATGAGGCAGTGTGCAGATATCCTTTGACAAGGATTGGGCACTAAAGCATGTATGCATGTTTTATGTTATGATGTTATATTTTGTTACACTGAAAATATGCTGGCAGAACATTACTATGAGTGAAATTATCAACTATGTTCTTTTTGGTTTATGAGTTTCTTAGTGGTGTTTTTTAATTGTATAAAACTAGTATCTCTTCATTCTAACCTCAAAAAAAATTCACTGTTTTTTTACTTGGAAACTCTCGCATTACACAATGTAGGTAAAGATTCAAAAATCAAACCCAAAGAACACATTAAAAGTGAAAATTTTTGCACAGTTTCCTATTAACAAATATAAAATAATGCAAGCATTAAGCCCCAAAAAGCTTTTTTTTTTCTGGATTTCTCTCCCTGCTGTTGTGGTTTGAAAAGCATAGTTATGTATGTTTGTTCCCCCTTCCCCAAATACTTCGAAGTCAATTCAGAAATGTCTTTCTTCCATCCCTTTACCCCCCAAGCAAATACTGTTGACAAAAACATGGAGGCACTCAAGTTGATGGGGTTTTTTTCCCCTCTGGGGAATTCAAATCCTTTGATACATCCTCTTAATTCCTCAAATAAGTCTTGAACACCCATTCAGAAAACTCTGTCAGACCAGCTCGAGAGCAAAAGAAATGTGTGCTCAGAGGAAACCTTCACTTTTTAATCCCAGTCCACACTCTCCTGCCACCTCTTCAGGATGCTGTGCATGTGGTCACTGCTATGAGGAGATGAGGGAATATTGCTTCATCACAAAAGCAGCAGACAAAGACAAATTAACTTCTCTTTCACACCGTAACTTACAGACTTATGTTCAGCTTGGCACTGGCAAATAATACTCAAACCCTCTAAAAACAAAATTAATAATCAGGTGTATTTGGTGTCCTTTCTCAAGGAAACAACTGCCTTCACACTGCATTTTTGTGACTGATCTACTGAGGCTGGAACAGAGGTCTATAAAGTGACTGCTTGAAAAGATTTCAACAGGAGAAAGATATTCCAAATAAGCTACCCAGCTGCCTTTAGAGTCACATGTGTTCTTGTGCTGTGAAGGAACCAAACCACTGATCTGAAGGAAACTCATTTGGAAAACTGCCAAGGCAAAACTAGATAAAAAGGGAAATTCTTCTTGAGAACTCCAGGTCTGGGGAACTACCAAAACCCCCTCTCAGCTCTTCTCCGCCAAGAACAACAACTTTGAAAGTGTGACTTCAGACTGGCCCAGCCAATGCCACGTTTCCACAGTGTGAGCTAATACCACAGTGGGGGTGCTGGGGGACAAAAAAAGAAAATGGAAGAAAGATAAAATCCAAAAATAGTTCCTCTACTTTCAAAACCGCAAAAGTCAGGGAAATACCATGATATGTACTCACACATACACTAAATGACACACATTCCCACTTTCAAAGAACTAACACAGGTGGAATCCAGAAACCTTTATTCTCAACAAAAACAAAGAGAGAACAAAATAAAAAACTGGCTGTCACTAGAATTTAGCATACCCTTGGAAAGAAAATCAACAGTGATTTTATGCAATTCCAAAAACTTAAGGGAAGGGGCATCAATAAGATGGCAAAGGGCATACCTAAAACATCAAAATTCTTTCTCCACCTCTGAACAAGGTAACAAGGACATTTCAGCTGTAGTATGCAATAGCTGTCTAATGCATTAACTTGAGCTACATTTCACAAAGGATTTCCAGAAATGGGTCTGAGGTCAAAACTTTTGCCTACAAAGGAAATTAGAAGGAAATTGTAGGAGATAAAACACAGCTTTAAATTCTGGCAGTTGTCCAGCTTTGTTCACTTTATTCTAATATTTTTAAAAGAAAAAAGTGCCTTCAGGGACTGCCACATAGATTACTTCAGACAGGACTGTATACAGCCCACAGTACTTTACTAACTCACCAGACCCCTTCACTTGCCCAACCGACTATCCCCTCCCACATCATAAACTGCATTTCAGCCTAATCACGTTCTTCTATCAGATTTTCTAGCTAGGTGTTAATTTTTGACAGATCAAATATGTAAAGGAAGTAAAATGTTTTTCAAATACAAGAGCAACTCTTTGCAAGACATGCAGAGTGCGTGAAGAGATTTCATTAAATATGCTTCTTTCAGTACAGGCTATCCAATTTGTTCCTGGTCACAGAGTGGGAATGATCCCTATGGCACCTCTCTGCAGCAAATAAAGCATATCATACAGGTAATAAAGACTCTCGATTTTAAGAGGAGTATGCTCAGTGCAGCAAGCCTTGCCTAATGAAGGGAAGATGAGCCAGTGCTGGCCAAGGAATCATTGGGCAGGCTTTCCCACCCTTCTCCCTGATGTAATTATATATACACCTCTGCTGCTCATTGACTGCATTACATCAAACACACCTTCAAGAGTGTGTCCAAACTATTGCCTTTAAATAAAGCCTGAACTAGCAAAACAATCCAAAATATATTTATTCTTCACAGAGTATTTGTTTTATAAGTATCTTCAGTGATATATCAGGAGTAAGAGAAAGGAACAGCTTGAGTTCTGAATCCAGTGAGTGTTCAACTACATGGTAACTGAGGTAGCAAAACATTCCTCATTCCAAGACTTAATTTTTCTTCACTTCATATGTTTGCTACAGAATTGCCCTAAACCTATTTCAACTGATGTGAGGAACTTCTGGTTCCTGTCATTTTAACAATATGCCTTCTATCTTCTAACACAAATTCACTCTATTCTAATTGCTCTGTTCACTAACAGGAGCCACAAGACTAACAATACCACTTGGACAACTTCTACCTTTGGAAGCACAACCAAATGAATTAAAGTTGCCTCTTATTAGGAAAAAGTTAAAGAGCTATTAATACAAAACTTGGAAGAATTAAACAAGTTCTTACTGTTTCCTTTTATCATGATGTGTAACAGAAAGCAGGGGACAAAGGTATTCTGGTTTTATCAGTCTCGCCTTGGTTATTCACCCAAAAAGAGCGCTTTAGGAAATTCTTTGCATGTCAATTCACCACTTAACTAACCAGTGCACACAGGAGATCCACAGCCTCTAGAACCAGTTCCTGGTGTCCAATCCGTGAGATACCCAAGTCTTCAAGGTCCTGGTGAGAAATCTGTAGGAGTTGTTCACCATTAATCTTCTCCCGTTCAAATTTGTGGACATACTGCTGCAGGCAGTCATCCAGGCCTACCAAAACACAAAAGTGAAAAAAAGGGACGTCAAAAACAAACAAAACAAAAAGAGAGAAAAAACCCCCACCACCCTATAAAAGGCAGAAAATGCAAGTTAATGAAATACACAATGCAAAATTATGAAAGAATCTTGCAGTGCACCTAAGGTTGTTGCATAGAAGGGGCATAGAAACTGAGCATATAAATTATGAAGAACTGCATAACCTTCCTGCTCCTTGTGGATCAACCTCAGCAGTTAAGAATATGCCTCTGGTGTCTGAACAAAAAGCAGTTAAGAATATGCCTCTGGTGTATGACCAAAGGGCATACATAGAGTCAGCAATCAGGGTAAACCAAAACCCTGAAGGGCATGCAAAGCAACAACAACAAAAAATAACAACTGACAAAAAAAAAAAAAATAAAATCCAACTCAAGGTAAGAACAAAGATCTTGTCCAAAGCCTAATTAAACAAGCAAAGCAATAAAAGCAATAACTGAGGAGAAGGAACATGAAAATAATTAAAGGCAAAGCAATCAAAATTATGTTTGGTTCCAATCTCATTATTCCCTTGATTCATGAGACCCTGCAGCTTCCTGAGGTGGCCATCCCTTGCTAAGGATCAACAACACATACAAACAAGAAATCTAATTCATTTTTTCTATCTAGAAGTATTTTTAAAACAGCTTAGAGTATTTTGTCCCAGCAACATCCCCCAAATCCCCACTTTAAAATGTGATTCTATAATCCTGTTCTCCGCAGTAGGTTTTCCCCAGTGATTACAGAAAGGGTTTCTGGTTTTCATCTTATTTAACTAAACTTCATGTGTTAATCCTGTTTTCGTGTGTATTCTGCTCATTTCCTCTGTTGTTAAAGATCCTGTAAGCAGCAACAATCTGGGAGGAAAATCTGGATGGATGTGTTATTTTAAAGATGATGCAGTGCTCTTGATGCTCTGCTCCCCTTCAACATATTGGCTAGAGCAAAAGGAACTGACCCAAATAGATCTGTTTTAGAGAAATACACCATGTTCATTGAAAACAGTTCACTTGAGCAAAAATTCAGATTGCACATTTGACATCTAGTGTGTGTTATCCACAATAGCTACATTGTTTCACCATTGCATTAAAAAAATAACATTTAGCTGTATAAAGGATGTTTATTCACTATGCTGCTTCAAAAGGAAACCACTGAGATGGACAGGATATCGAACGCAGCAGATGAGAAACACAAACAGCATCCTGAACTACAAAGAGATGGGAGCCAAAAGAAAAGCACTCAGTTCCACTCATGAAGTTGCAGCGGCAGCCTGGAATACAAGTACTCCCAGCACACTCTACCACCAAGAAAAGATTTGACACAGATCACAAGGAGGACTCAGAGTCACATGAAGTACATTCACTTCATAGCAGCGGCATGAGCAGCCACTGCTACCTTGCACTGCCCAGTCACAGCAGATCTGCAGATGACAGACTCCGAAAGGCATGAGCTGACTTAACACACATCACTTGCCTTTCCAATGCTCACCCCGAAGTTAATAAGAACAGACACCCTCTTACATGACTTGGCCAAGTTTAATTATCACAGTAAATCAACATCTGGCTTAGTGAGCTTGACTCCTCCGCATGCAGAGCTACCAATGCACACAGCTTGAATTTTAAGGATAATTATGAATGGGAAAACCTGCACGCAAGATAAGCAGAGTCTCCCAGGGCTACAGTTACTTGGGGGCACTCTTGTTTCTTCCCATCTGTCTTGGCAAAGCTGCATAAATTTTGAAAATTGAGTCCACTGTTCTCTTTCCCACAGGCACTAAATTCTCCCTTAGTCTATACAAACTCTCTTCCCAGGAAAAATAATAAAAAATATCTGGCCTTCATTGTTTAACAATTTATTTTTTCAAAACAAATTCTCAACCAAGGCTACACACAGTCCACATATTTGGCATTCCCAATTTTTATTGCTGCCTTGCAGACCACTGTTTCCCATCATTTGCCCTTGTAAGCCCATAGTTTCCATCCCAAATTACACAAACACCTAAAATAAAACACTTCATTCAATAGGCAGTGTAGTTTTTATTAAGTTTTTTTCATGCAGTGTGGCTTTCGCCTACTATCTTTTATGTGTTGTCTCAACTTTCTAGAACTTCATTCTCTGCTAAAACATGGAGACTGAAATGTATGTATTCTCCTGCAGAAATACAACTATGGCTCTCAGCTTACCTGTGCTTTTTTAATTCATGCTTGCAGGCCTATTACAACTTGAAGAGCTACCTCTAAAACATTTTTTTTTTTTTAGTAAGAGTCCTTAAAAGCAAGACAGACACTATAGGACTATATTTCGCAACATAAAATATTACAAAATTGCACAAATGTTGACTCAAAACAGTTAACATAGTGGCACAGCTGCTCAATTAGACATTTATTTAAGTGACCAAAACTATGCAAAGCAGGCAGTGAAGACAGACCCACAAACTCATGTTCACTGATGGTTTAAGATGAGCTTACTAACATTAGTGCTATTATGTTTACTAAGAAACATATGGTAAAATGTTAAACATTTTAATTGAGATTGCAACCAGGTTTATAGCCTATTGTTTACCTTTCTATCATATGAATGAAATGTTTAAATATCATATGCAAATGAAACTCCAAAGTGGGAAGGGAGAAGGGAGGAAAAAGCACTCATAACCCAGTTCAAGAAATTTTAATAATATTTAAGTTTTAAAAGTCAGCATTCAAATGTTACTAGTAAACTAAATGAATTGCTCATTTTTTCCTTCTTCCAAACATCTATGTTCTTTCTATGTATTTTCTTCGTGAACTTCGGAACCTCATGGGGACTTGGTATTGCCCATTAGCACTGTCTAGGTATTTCTGAGAAACTTAGATGAATTTAAGACT